CAACTCTGACAATTCTGTGATTCCATGATAAGGCCTTCTTACTCCTTGCTCCCCATGTGCTAGTCTTTAGATGGCTTTTTTAGAGCTGATGGTACTTTAAGGAAGCCAGGAACAAACAAACAGTAACTAAGTGCTTTGCACTTTTTATGTTTAGGTGTTTTGTTGCTCCTTTCTGAAGAAAGGGAATGCTCACTGAATGTGGGACCTGACTGAATACACCTTCAGTTTGTTTGCTGTATAAATCCCTTTTTACGGGATTTATGACAAACCCCCAGGTTCTGTCGTGTTGATCTCTCTGGATTCTGTCCTGAATGGCCAAGTTTGAGGATAAAAGCATTCCCTCCCACGAGACATCCCCCCGACCCGGTATTTTCTGGGAGCGAAGGTTACGCTTAGCGCGGGGCACGAGTCGCCACGGTTAATTTTCACTTGCTGTGGCTTTATGGTTTCAGTCAAAATGCAGGAACATAGTGGTCACGGGCCGGGATTTTCTTGCCAGGAGGAGCGTGAGGCAGGTGATGGGACTTGATGTCCCCGTTGCTGTCACCAATTCCCATCCCTTCCCGCTGTTGGCCCGGAGGTGGGAGGGAAAAACCAGCTTTAAGCACTTCGTTACCCATTAACCCCCAGTATTGCATAGTGCCGTGGCTTTCCCTAATCACAGAATCTTCTAGGTTGGAAGGGACCTTAAAGATCATCTTGTCCAACCGTCAACCTAACTGACAAACACAGACACCCACACAACAAACAAGAAGCAACACCATCACTAAACCATACCTCCCAGCACTACATCAACCCGTCTTTTGAACACCTCCAGGGATGGTGCCTCAACCACCTCCCTGGGCAGCCCATTCCAATGCTTGATAACCCTTTCAGTGAAAAAATGTTTCCTAATATCCAGCCTGAACCTCCCCTGGCGTAACTTGAGGCCATTTCCTCTCGTCCTGTCTCCTGTGACTTGGGAGAAGAGACCGACCCCCACCTCTCTACACCCTCCTGTCAGGGAGTTGTAGAGAGAAATAAGGTCTCCCCTCAGCCTCCTCTTCCCCAGGCTGAATAACCCCAGTTCCCTCAGCCTCTCCTCATAAGACTTCCTCTCCAGACCCCTCACCATCTTTGTTGCCCTTCTCTGGACCCGCTCCAGCACCTCAATGTCTTTTTTAT